CAGTCTAGTTGACTGCTTCAGGTCAAAAACTTTTCGGAATTTTCTTTTCTAAAATCATACTACGAACCATATTCATAATAGTTCTATTTTTTCATTCTGCAACTTCGTTCTGTTGTGGCGTGTATGCTACTGTCAGATGTCTTTGTATATCATTTACATCACAAAAATTGGTGAATTCTTGTGATGTAAACTCTCCTCCTCGATCAGTGTATAAGGCTTTAATAAATGAGTTTGTTTACTTCTCAACATGAATCCTAAAGTTTTTAAATATTGTAAAGGCTTCTCGTTTTTCTATTAAGAAATAAACCCATGTTTTTCTATTGAAGTCATCTGTGAAAGTAATTAAGCACCTTTTCTTGTTGTTTGAGATTTGGTCGGTCCACAAATATCAGCATGCACCAATTGGAGAATTTTGTAAGCTCGCCATGTGTTCCTTTTTGAAAACGAGTGCCTTTATTGCTTACCCACCTGAAAATTTTTACACAGTTTCACTGGAGACTTGAGCTGTGGTAAATCATCCACCATCTTCTTTCGCTGAAAGAGTCTTTAATCCCTTAAAGCCCAAATGTTCATATCCACAATGTCAAAGTTGCTCAATATCTTCTATGATTGTATTGAAACAAGTGAATGTTACTAGCTGAGATATAACATGTAGTACGAACATTCGATTCAAAGACATCTTTGTCTCCATGATTAAGCCTCTCTCAGGATGAAACATCTTGCACGTTCCGTTTTGAAACAAAATGGTAAGCCCCTTTGCTTGCAATTTCCCAATACTCAACAAATTGTTCTTTAGCTTTGACACATAAAACACTCCTGGTATGTTTCCATTCACTTGAGTTGTTGCCTAGCTTCACTGAATCTCTGAAACTTCCATCAAAATTGAAAAATATTCTTTCTTCCCACACATATGGTTGCTACATCTCGAGTTAAGGTACCACATATCTTCTCTATTGGCCTTATTCATATTCACGTAAGCCATCAGCAACATCTCTTCTTGAGTCTCTGCATAGTTTGCCTCCTTCTCCTTGCTTTGACATTCCAATCGAAAATGTCCTAGCTTGTGACAATTATAGCACTCCACTGTGGCCCTGTTGAAGGTTTGTTTGCCTCATCCCCTTCCTCTGTCTCTAAAACTTCCACGACCTTGACCCCTTCCTCCAAATTGTTCACCATGAGCGATCTTCAAAGCGTGTTCTTCTTCAACATGAGAACTCATTCGTTGTTCATCCACAAGCAGGCTGCTTTGCAACTCATCAATGGTTAAGATGGTTGTATCCTTGGCCTCCTCAATGGAACACACAATATAATCAAACTTGGGAGTCGTAGAGCTCATAATCTTTTCAACTACTTCAACATCTCCTTTGTTCTCACCATTTAGTTTCATCTTATTGGCTATGCTAAGGGTAAGAGCAAGATCCTGCCTTTATGTGAAGCATTTCAAACTCCTTCCGAAGAGCTTGCAAATGTGCACACTTTACCCATGTCGAACCTTGATATTTCTGCTTCATAGAATCTCATATGTTCTTTGTTCTATCCTTGTTGAGGATTGTCTCCAAGATCGAACGATCTAATGCTTGAAATAAATAATTCTTTGCTTTCAAATATTTAAATTTCTGATCTTCAATATGCTTCTTCTAAGTATCTGTGAAAACGATGTCTTCTGTTACTACAGAAATCCCATTCTCCACCAAACCCAGTACTCTTTTGAACGCAAAAAGTGTCCATGAGCATCGCCCAATGATCATAGTACCCATCAACTTTCGGAATTGCAGGCTACACAAATGAACTCTTCATCGACATGCTTTTATTATAACACACATAAAAGACTGTTGCTTCTAGTTTTAACTTAACTAAGTTTAGGGCATGACTTTGATACCAAATATTAAAAACAGACAAAACTCGAAATACGAGAACTATTGGGAGAAAACTCATCTTCTATTGAAGAATGAAATAAACTATTATATACATTCGTTACCGAATAGAATACAGTGAAAACAAATAAATTTAAATCAAATAACTAAATCAAACTTAACGATTCCTCTTAAACTGAATCAGGACAGACTCCTAGGAGTCCTCTTTCCATTTTACTCCAACCTTCTTTCCACCCTCGAGTAACTCCATCAATACTCATATGTCATTTCTGTTTATTGCTTCCATCCATGGCTTATCTCCATTTTTCACTCTTCCACACGTGTTCGAAGTTTACAAATTATTAATTTAAAATTAAATTTTTCGTATTTGGTCATATAAATACAATTTATGTGTGAAAAGTGTTTAAAGAAAAAAAAAAAAAAACCATATTATCCAAATGAAAAAGGGAGGAGACATGAGAGGAAAGAAAAACAGGTGAACAGCCCATTTAATGCCACCTGTCCTCTGTAATGACAGCAACCACAACAAAAAATATATTTTGAAAACCTTGAGAAATTAAATATTTACATTAAAAAAAACTATTTTTTTTATTGGTTTTAAATATTATTAAAAACTAAAATAATTGTATATTAAATAATTTATTATTATATTTTGATTATTTAAATTAATTGATAATTAAAATGTTTTTATTAAATTATATTAATTAGTTGCATATTATTTAATTTGTTTGGTAAAAGCATATCCACATTAATAGATATTTTTAATAAGATATAAATTCTCAAATAATTAATAAAAGAACAGCTTCCAGCTCACACTATGGTGGAGGAAGTGTCGCGAAGATCTAGGAGTATGAGCAGTACGAACAGAAAGACTCCCATACTGTTTGGAGGGTAGTGTTGGATGATGAAAGTCCCACATCGGTTAATTTAGGGAATGGTCATGGGTTTATAATGTAAGAATACACTCTCCATTGGAATGAGGCCTTTTGGGGAAGCCCAAAGCAAAGCCATGAGATGGGTTTATAATCTAAGGATACACTCTCCATTGGAATGAGGCCTTTTGGGGAAGCCCAAAGCAAAGCCATGAGAGCTTACGCTCAAAGTGGACAATATCATACCATTGTGGAGAGTCGTGTTCGTCTAACATGGTATCAGAGCCATGCCCTAAACTTAGCCGTGTCAATAGATTGACAAATCCTTAAATGTCGAACAAAGAACTCCAAAAGGAGTCAAGCCTCCTCGAAGGTACGAAGGCAGTCAAAAATGACTAAGACTCCAAAGGAGTCGAGCCTCGATTAAGGGGAGGCGTGCTTTGTTCGAGGGGAGGTGTTGGATGATGAAAGTCCCACATCCCCTAATTTAGGGAATGGTCATGGGTTTATAATCTAAGAATACACTCTTCATTGGTATGAGGCCTTTTGGGGAAGCCCAAAGCAAAGCCATGAGATGGGTTTATAATCTAAGAATACACTCTTCATTGGTATGAGGCCTTTTGGGGAAGCCCAAAGCAAAGCCATGAGAGCTTATGCTCAAAGTGGACAATATCATACCATTGTGGGGAGTCGTGTTCGTCTAACAGGTAGGAGCATCTGACCCCTATCTATCGTCGTAAAAGCAGTTCCTAGGAAAGATTAGGGTTCTCAGGTATCCAACCAAGGGTGAGGGATAACGGGAAACCCCCTAAATTGAAGGCTTCATTCGCTTGCATTATTGTATATATAATAGGTTATATGTTTGACTCGTAGGACTAAAATTAAAATAAGATAATAGGTAAAAGTATTTTTATTATTATTATTATTATTATTATTCGAGTAGATGAAGGGTATTTAAGTAATTTCATATGTTAAAAATGTGGGTTTGGGTAGGGAGATGATTTATTTAATCGAGTATAATGGAAGCATAAAGTGAAGATATATTTTATATAATTAATTTAATTTAAATTTATAATTTAAAAAGCACCGAGCTCTTCACTTTTGAGTCTATTTGTTCAAAATGTGATTTTTTTAAATAAACATTGATGTAAATATAAACTAAATAATTTTTTAAAAATTAATTAATTATTATTACATTAATTTTCACTATTTTTTTATCACTATATATATATATATATATATTAAATTTCGAACAATTTTATTGAGTCTAAAAAATGTCTTATTCTCGTTGAAAATGATTATGATCGAGTTCATGGCTTATTAGAAGTAAAAAGCGCTCGGTTGGGATTGAGATCATCACAGAGAGAAAAAGATTATAGTCGATTTGATAATGATCGAGTGACATTGTTTCTTTGACCCTAACCTAAGAGTCTCTTAGATATGATACAAAATGGATTTTGTTCTATTGTTGATTAGAGATTTCTGTACGTGACTTAAACGAGCCAATACCATTAATTTAAATAAATAAAAAGAAAAAAGAAAAATAAAATAGAAAAATGGAAGGGTCAAAGTTGACAGCGCGGCGGCGAGTAACGGGTTTGTGCGAGTAGGAGACTTTTTAGCCGCTTTTGTATTAGTTTTAATTACTTCTTTTTTAATATATATATATATATTATAAGCTAACTTATTATATAATATACTTAAATTAATAAAAATATACAAATACTTTTAAATTTTCTTAAATAGAATACTTTTATCGAGGAAAATAATTAACATTTTATTTTTAAAAAACTTTATAAATGAAATATTTTTTAAAAAATTCAAAAATGCATTTAAGTATGAGCTTTAAAAAATAATATTAAAAAATTTAAACCTAATCTATGAGAATTAATTTTTAATTAAAATAAAGGGGTTAATGTTATTTTAAATTAATTTTTTTTTTTTTTTGAAAGGGTTAATGAAATTTTCAAAAAATTTAATGGTATTTTTTTAAACACATATTAATATTAATATACCAAATTTCATTCTCCTATTTCAATATTCATGTTCATATTTTTCTTTCATTTTTTAATAAATTATTATTCCAAAAAAAATTTAATGGATATATTTGATTTATATGTATATAATTTATATTAAAAAAATTCTAACATTCTAATAAATTTAATAATATTTATTTATTTATTTATTTTGTATGCACTCAATTTAAATAAATTTAAATATCTCGAAATATTTATATGAAAGCGCGTTGAATTGAATTGCGCTCCCATTGAATCCACCAAATTTATTACAAATCCCTAATATCTCTCTCTCTAACTCTTCTTCTTCTCTCTCTTCCCCGTTTTCGCGCTTCTCTTTTCCGGGATTTCGTCTCCTGGTCTTCACAATTCCTGTTTGCTTTGTTCTCTTGAATCTGTTTTCATTTCAATTTCTGGATTTGATTTTGTTCCTCTGTGAGATCTGTGAAATTAGTTGATTCTTCCATTTCTCATTTGAGTGATGCGTAATGGAGTTTCTCGGTAACCAAGTAGCAAGTAGCAGAGGTTGTAAGAATTGTAAAATGTTTGTTTTATTGATTTTCTTTTTGCTTTTCTCTGCCGTATTTGATTCGATTGCAGAAGCGCATGTTCGTCAAGGATTCAACAACTCCAATCGCTCTGGTATTTTCGGAATCGATTTGGGGGAAAATCTTAGTTCCGGTATTGCGGCTTCATCCGCTAGTGCTCCGTGTAGCTTTGGAAATGAAGGTGAAGAACAAGGAGAGGTAGAGAGTTTAATGGCGGATTCAGTGAAGCAATCGGTGAAGCTTCACTTGAAGAAGCGGTCAATGAGTCGAGAAACCGAACCTAAGGAATCGATTACTGAATCTGCAGTTAGGGATTTGGCAAGAATCCAGACGCTTCATACGAGAATCGCTGAGACGAAGAATCAAGATATGACTTCGAGGTTGAAGAAGAGCAACGTTGAGAAAATGAAACTGGCGGAGGAGGCGGTTTCTCCGGCTCCGTCGCAGGAATCTTACGCCGATTACTTCTCCGGTCAGCTTATGGCTACTTTGGAATCCGGCGTTAGTCTCGGCTCTGGTGAGTACTTCATCGACGTTTTCGTCGGTTCTCCGCCCAAACATTTCTCTCTGATTCTCGATACTGGAAGTGATTTGAACTGGATTCAATGTGTCCCTTGCTACGATTGTTTCGAGCAAAATGGGCCTCATTACAACCCTAAAGATTCAATTTCTTTCAGAAACATAACCTGTAACGATCCTCGATGTCAATTAGTTTCGTCTCCAGATCCACCGCAGCCGTGCAAAATCGAAACTCAATCGTGCCCTTATTTCTACTGGTACGGCGATAGTTCGAACACCACAGGTGATTTCGCGCTTGAAACCTTTACTATCAATCTGACCTCGTCGGGGAAGTCGGAGTTTCGGAAAGTAGAGAATGTGATGTTTGGATGTGGCCATTGGAACAGAGGCCTCTTCCATGGCGCCGCTGGATTATTAGGGCTTGGCCGAGGACCTCTCTCTTTCTCATCGCAGCTTCAATCGCTCTACGGCCATTCCTTTTCCTACTGTCTTGTTGATCGAAACAGCGATACAAGCGTGAGCAGCAAGCTGATTTTCGGCGAAGACAGAGATCTATTAACTCATCCAAAACTGAATTTCACATCTCTGATCAACGGAAAGGAAAATCCAGTCGATACATTCTACTACCTGCAAATCAAATCGATATTCGTCGGAGGCGAGAAACTCCACATCCCAGAGGAGATCTGGAACCTCTCGGCCGACGGTGCCGGTGGAACAATCATCGATTCCGGCACAACTCTCAGCTATTTCTCGGATCCGGCTTACCAGATCATCAAAGAAGCATTCATGAGGAAAGTGAAAGGCTACAAACTGGTTGATGATTTTCCGATCTTACATCCTTGCTACAACGTGTCCAGCGTAGATAAATTGGAATTTCCAGAATTCGGAATCCAGTTCGCGGACGGTGCGGTGTGGAACTTTCCGGTGGAGAATTACTTGATCAGAATCGAGCAATTGAATATAGTGTGCTTGGCGATGTTAGGAACTCCAAAATCGGGGCTGTCGATCATCGGAAATTACCAGCAGCAGAATTTCCACATATTGTACGATACGAAGAACTCCAGATTGGGGTACGCGCCGATGAGATGTGCAGAAGTTTGATCTAACTCCATGTCTAAACATAATTTTAATCTTAGCAGGAAGAAGAAGAACACAGTTTTTTTTTTTTTTTTTTTTTTTTTTTTTTTTTTTTTTTTTAAAA